GCGCGCTTTCCCGCGCGGCCGTGCTGCAACGTTTTCCCCAACCGTCATGCGCCGCGTGACAGACCTTCCGAAAAAAGGTGCGACTGGGAAAGGGCATATGGTGCCGAGGAGGATGGAGCACACGCAGTTCCTATCAGCATGCAAATATGAATTTGTTGTCGGAAATCGGCTTGCGCTCGTGCCCTGACAGCGCGGTGAGCTTGCCGGCCGACGCGAGGATGACTGCGCGCGGCGCATGTGGCCGCTGCTGAAAACCACCGGCCACGTCATGGAGGGCAGATGTGCATACGCTGCCCTCGGTTAGTCCGCGCGCGATCGCGTCGCGGGTATTCTCCCAGCCCGGGCCCATAGCTGGCCCGAGCTCAGAGGGTCGCGGAGCCAAGGCACATGCGGCAGCAGTGAGTGTTCTGCTGGAGGCTAGGGTCTCGCCGCCGCGACGGCCCCGACCGCCGCCATCGAGTCGAGGCAAAGCTCAATTCGCAGTGCGAGTGGCCGTCGGCCATCTCGTTGGCGGCGTGGCACTTCAGGGCCAAGGGGCCCTTTTCGCGCTCTATGGGGCGTGGTGGCTAGAGCGAGGCTGCGGTTTGTTAAGCTGGTCGCGGCCATCAGCTCGATCTCGACGGCGCTTTGCGCAGCTGTTTGAGATGCCCCGCGCTGCCAGCCCAGCAAGTGACGCGTTTGTTTGCCGACGGAAGCTGGTGGAGTCCCCGCGCCTCTGGTGCCCGTGCGCAAACATGTGGCTCCTCGCAGGGCTCGGATTGCGTCGACGCCCTCCCTATGGTCCTGTCGGCACGCTGCGTCACTGTGCATCTCGAGCTTGTATGCGCAGCGAACTGATGGACAGTGAATGCTTAGTGGCGTGCCCTGCGCCCACCTCGCCAGTGCGTAAAACTTCCGTATGCGGCCGCACGTTTGCGCCGCTGCGTGGCGCTGAAGTCCAGCTGCGTCGACGCGCAGATCGACTCGGGCAGTGGGCGCGAAGGTCAAAGCAACGAGCAGACTGAGGCGCACTTCGGCCGGGCTCTCTGAAGCGAGCTCGAAGTTGGACTTCCCAAACAGCTCAGCTCCCCCTTATTTGCTTTAAAGTCGGGGATCTTCTGACCCGGGTCAATCCAGACCCGGGCCAGCAGGAAACCAAAAACTGTAACGCAGGAAAAAAAACTGCAACGCAGATCTTCGCAGACCCGGGTCAACCAATACGCGCGGCCGCCCCGCGGCCACGAGCGGCTCCCTAACCCGGGTCAGCCAGAAGGGGTCTTCGCAGGATCCTGCAGGACCTGGCGCCCTGGCTGACCCCCGTTTGCACTGACCCCCGTCTCTTAGGCCCCGATAAAGCCTGAATGTACTCGATCCGGTCCAGCTCATGCCCGCCGTCGCGCGCGGGGAAGTGACGCGCGCCGCAGCGCGCGAAAGAACCTTCGCTAACATCTAGCTCACCCTGGCCGGCAACAGTGTCTAGACATTGACGTAACTTGGCCTTCTCTTGTGATGATTCGGTGACTTTAATATCGTCGATGTACTTGGTGGCCAGTAGGGCGAGATCGCCGTCTATGTGTTTGGCCATGCGCTCATTGTCGCATAATGCTGGGACTCGCTTGGTACATGCGATTGGCGATCTCAATTATTGCACAGGCCGACGTCTCGGGGATCTCTGCGCCCGGCGCGCCTTTTCCGCGCGGGGAACTTCAAACCTTGTCGAAATTCTCGCGCGCACTTACTTTGCGTAGGACTGCGACGGCGTCGGGGGGGGGGGGGGGCTCAAAGTGGACCTCGCGCGCTCATTCTCATCTGTTGCCTCCGCACGTTCCCAGCAGCTGCTGCCCCTCAAGAAGGCCTTCTTGACGCCCCGCGCATCGATCGCCCATTCTTGGCAGGCCGCCTCGGAGACAACCGCGCGCTGGGAAGAGTCGCGATTGGGCGCCTGCGTACGTGGCGATGAGATCGGCGCGGGCGTCCGTGAAGCCTCGGAGAGTCAGCCTCGCGCGGATGATCCGAACCCTCTGCGATGGGTATGAGATTCTTCGGGCCCATTTCCACGTGCCCACCCACCTACGCGCAAAAATGTCGCGCGCTCCTCGACGCGGGCGCCGTTGGGGGCAGTTGTCATCTACCCGTACTTGGTTTCTCGAGCACAGCGGCAGGGGCGGCTGCGGCGTGCTCTCGGAGCTCTTCGGGAGTGAGCAAGTCAGTGTCGCGCTCGACCACTGCCATCTTTGTTCCTGCCGCGTGAATCCAAGAGGAGCGCGCAGTGACCGTCTGGTACACGGCAATAATCTAACGTGAGTTTGAACATCTCGACAGGAGCCACAATTTCCGCGCGGGCGTTCCCAGCCTCATCGGTATGGGTGGCCTCTGTGGTCTGAAGAGGAACAGCGCCTACTGTCAGGTGGTGGTGGCGCTGGCACGCCTCTTTGGGCAGGGCTTGTGGCAGTGGGTATGGCGGAGAAGGTTGGGTCTCCATCTCTAGGATTTCCTCGGAGGTGGCTGATTCTGAGAGCAACGCACCTTTCATGACTGCCAGCTGGTCGTGCGTTAAGGAGGTCCACCACGTGGTGTCGATCAGGTTGTGATCGCTCAAGAATGTCATCGCGGGGTCCCTCATCGTGGGTGGCCTCCTATTCGTCGTGTCCGGAACCGTCAGAGCGTCTGCCGGCTTCGGATCGGCGCTGCATCCCCGGGAGTCTGCTACTTGGAGCTCATCCTCCACGAGATATACGAAGTAGCGTCCAACTACCTCTCCGAGTATGAATCAGAGATGCCACGCGTTGCTGCAGTCGGGACCTAGGAGCTCGACAAGGCTTGAGCTGTCAGCTTCGAAGCTCCACCAGGTGTCCACATCGCGATGGCCTGGTCGCCACCATGCCAGGACTGTCTTCGGCCACGATGCGCTCGAGGCCGCGGCCGACTTGGATGGCCGCGGCACAGTTGCGATTGAAGACGTTAATGGCTAAGTACGAGGCTGAAGGCCACAGAGCACTTGTTGGTGGTGACGGTGGTGACCGTGCCGGCGTCGGCAAGGCCACAGCGTGGAAGGGTCTTAGCCGAGAGGCTCAGGATATACTGTTCCGCCTTCATCCATGCCTGACCCTGAAGTGTAGTAGGTTGGTTCGTAACTCCGTATACCAGTCCGCCAAAGCCTACGAATGGTTGTGCATGTCCGAGGCGGCATATCTGTTCAGCGCCTCGGTCATTGATGGTCACGGTGCCTTGTTGGGCACTCATCTTGGCCACTGCGGCTGGACCACTCCGCCCGCTCACATCTTTGGTGGAGGGAACTCTGTAGAAATCGACAAACGCACCTGGCCTGTAGTCCAGGGTCTGGCCCGCGACTGTGGCGTTGGTCTTTGAGGCTCGGCTAATGCGAGAGATGGCCGAAGCTTCTACGATTCGTTGCAGCGCAATCTCTCTCTCAGACGGCGCGAATTGCGGGCCACGCCTGCTGCGTCATCCGGGAGTGCCAACATGTCCGGCAACATCCGCAGTTGCCATCCAAATCGTGCGTTGTATGGTGTTGCACCTCCATAAAATTTGGAAAAGTTGCCGCGCCGAGCCCGGAATCGCGTCTGTCCTGTGCGGCGGAGGCGGCTACTTGCAGCTGCGCGATGTCGAGGCGACCATGCAGCAAACGGTCGTGGCTGCCTCTCGTGCGGCCAAACAAGTATCAGTGAGAAGGTCGCCTTCCGTTCTGCGCAGCCCGCGGCAGGCGCTGGCGAGCCGACGTGGCCGCAGGCCACTCCCGAGGCTCGAGGTGGCGTTCAGCCTGTCGGGGCTGCACCGTCGGTGGCTCCTGGCGCGGGGCATGCTGCTGGTCCGCCGACGCCTCGGGGTCTGCCGCCAAAGGTGGTCGCGGAGAAGCGCAAAGCTTTCTCGCGCGCTGTTGCAGCGGAGATTTCTGACGAGGCCGGCGCAAAGAACCTCCGTGCCATGGCGAAGCGGCGCTACGACGGCATGGTCCAGCTCTTCGATTCCATCGCGCAGCGGTCGACACGTGAGTACGTGGGTGGCTGTTTCCGTTCGTGCGTTGTTGGTGTTTGCGCCCATGGCGGCACACATACCATAACGACGTACAGCCCGAGTTTACTCAAGGGCAAGAATGAGTTCTTGGACAGTGGGCCTCAGTGCCAGCTTCTGCTACCAAGAGCATAATGAAGTTGCTGATGAGCTTGCCACTGTGCAGTCGCATATTGTGCAGCTGGGCTATCCTTCAATCTGGGCTGCCGCGTTGCCCTGTCGCTGACTCTACCCTGGCGTCGCGCGGAGTTGCTATCTTGGCGCCCTCGCGTTTGACGGTTGCGACCCCGCCGCTCTTGGAGACGCCGGCGATCGAAAAGGGGCGCGCGGAGGGCGCTTATGTGCATGGTGGCATGCGGCGTGGGTGCGTGGCCATCTTCCTATACCCCAGATGCGTGGAGGCCTGTCGGATCAGAACTCGTGCATTATACGCTCGGTCGCGGGGACACCCCCAAACTGCACGACATGGAGACCCTCTGGTTTTTGCGAGGCGAATGGAAACAGGAGCCCGCGAAGGAGCAAGCCGCGTGGATGAGGAGCACACTGGGCCTGATCGGCGCGACGAAGGAGCCAGCCTGTACGATGGCGTGGCCTGGGGGTGGTGCACGACTCCTTCGTGGCCAGTCCCGCGGTGGGCATGCTGTCTCCGATTCGGCCTGTCATCGCATCGACCACCCCTCGCCCTGAGCGTACGCCCTGCCTCTCAAAGGAGGTCACGGTGAGACCACGCGTGCCAGTCAGTCTGCCTTGACGAACGTCGAGCGTGTGCCATGGATATGTCAGCTCGTGGAGCCTCCCAGGACGCGAGGTGCTTGGACTGCACGTTGCTGTCGCCGCCGTCGTCCTCGCCGCCGCCGCCGCCGCGGTCGTCCGCGCCGCGTCCAGAGTCGACGTCGTCGCTGCCGCCGCCGAGCGCCGCCGCCATCGCTGACGTCGTCCTCGCCGCCATCGTTCTCGCCCGCCCGCCGCCGTCCTCGGTGCGGGCCGCGTCAGCGCTGCACGAGCCTGGCGAGCAGCACCTCGGCCTGCCGCTGCACCTGTGGTCGCGGCCCCGCTCACGCTCCTCTTCCTCCTCCTCCTCCTCCGCCGCCGCTCCGCGGCGGTCGCTCGCTCGCCGTCGTTGCCTGGCGTCGTCGCGATCGTCGTCGCAGAATCGTCGCTCGCCGCTCGTCGCCGCTCGCCTCCGTCGCCGTCCTCGCCGCTTCCGCAGTCGCCGCCGCACGGTGGCTCGTCGCTGCGCTTCGCTGCTCGTCGTCGTCGTCGTCGTCGCCGTCTCTGCTTGTCGTGGTCGCCGTCGTCTGGAGGAGGAGGAGGAGGAGGAGGAGGAGGCGGAGGAGGAGGAGGAGGAGGAGGAGGGGTGAGGGGTGAGGGAGGACGAGGAGGACAAGGAAGACGTGGCGGAGGATGAGAAGACATTTGGAGAGGGAGAGTGACGGAGAGGATGAACAGGATGAAGTCTTGCCACGACGGGCCCATCCTCTCCCCATGCCCCGCCATTCCTCCTCCTCCTCCTCCTCCCCCCGCTTACCCCCCCCCGCCTCCTCCCTCCTCCTCCTCCTCCTCTCCTCTCCTCCTCCTCCTCCTCGTCCTCCTGCTCTTCCTCCTCCGCATCATTCCCCCCTCCTTTCATCTCTTCTCTATTCCATGTCTGCTCCTCATTCTCTTCTTCATCCTCACCCCTCTTCTCCCCTATTCCTCCTCCTCCTCGTCCGCCTCTTCCTCCTTTTCCGACTTCTCGATTCTACCTCCCTCCTCTCCTCCCTCCTCCTCCCTCCTCCTCCTCCCTCCTCCTCCCCCCTCTTTGTCCTCGGTCTCCTCCTCGTCCTCCTCCTCCTCCTCCTCCTCTTTCTCATCCTCCTTCTCCTTCTCTTTCTCATCCTCTCTCTCCCGCCCTCCTCCTGGTCCCGGCTCCTCCCTTTCCTTCTTATCTTCCTCGTACCTCTTCTCCTCTTCCTCCGCCTCCTCTCCTCCTGTCCTTTGTTCTCTCCTCCTGCATCTCCCCCTCCTTCCCTACCCATGTCCTTCATGTCCTCCTCCTGGGCCTCGTCCTCGTCTGCGTCCGCGCTCTCTGTTTCCTCTCCCCTCCCTTCCTAGTACATCAATTGCGGTGCGCTCCTCGCAGTGGACTCCTCCATGTGGCGCCAGTCTGTTGCAGCGCGAACGAAGAAGGGAATAGAAAGCCCCAGGGGCCCTAGACAGATATTGGAAGCCCCTGGATACCCCCAAGAAGAGCAAACGTCCCTATGCCTGCTGTGTATATGGCGACTTCTCGTCTGTTCTGTCACTTTCTCGTGGTCCCGAATTTCAGCCAGCACTGGGGTCAACCCAAGCTACCACTCCGTCAGTGTAGCCTTCAAGCGTGGCACACTTACGCCTGGGTCACCTCAGGTCAGGGCATCTCGGAGCCAGGGATTCCGAGGATGTTCAGGCGGAACATGCCTGAGTCCCTCGCGAACCACATCTTGGAACCCAGAGTTGTGAGGATGTCTCAATCGAAACGGGCCAGAGCACATCAATTCAGAGCATCTCGCAGTAGCCTGGAGTTCGGAGGATGTCTCAGGCGAAACGGGCCTGAGTACCTCGCGAACCGCATCCTTGGAACCCAGAGGCGTGAGTTGCGAGGATGTCTCACGCCAAGCGGGCTCGAGAACCTCAAGTCAAGGCACTTCAGAGCCCGTGGTTCTGAGGATGTCTCAAGCGAAACGTGCCTGAGCACCTCGTGAACCGCATCTTCAACCCAGAGTTGCGAGGACGTATCAGGCCAAACGGTCAGAGCCACGGATTCCGAGGATGTCTCAGGCGAAACGTGCCTGAGTACCTCGCGAGCCACATCTTGGAACCCAGAGCTGTGAGGACGTCTCAGGCGAAACGGGCCAGAGCACCTCAGGGCATCTCGAAGCCTGGGGGTCCGAGGATGTCTCGGGCAAAACAAGCCTGAGTACCTTGCGAACCACATCTTGGAATCCAGAATTGTGAGGACGTCACAGGCGAGACGAGCCAGAGCACATCACGCCAGGGCATCTCGGAACTCGAGGATCCGAGGATGGCTCTCCGTAGGCCATGGGGCGCACCCAGCACTTTTGTCGGGGGCGCGCAAAGATGGATTAGCGATCCATGGATTTGGCGCGCAGTCGCCAAATCCATGGATGGGGGGAGGTGCCGTTCCCCAAAAAAGTGCGGCCAGTGCCGCCTCGCTCGGCGGAAATCCGTGATCTCCCATGGAAGCGGGACCCATCGCTGATCCACGCCACCTTTTTGGACGCCCGAAATGGGTACGGAAAGAATGGGTACAATGCCCAACAACAAATGTTGTCCCAAACCAACAGCGGCCGCTGTTGGGCAGGCGGCCCTCTGTCTCGAATGGACACAGGCCGCGGCGGCGTGGACAACGAATCCTGTTCAAAATGAACACGGACTGCTGTTGGGCATTGTACCCATTCTTTCCGTACCCATTTCGGGCGTCCAGACCCTTGATCCATGTTTGCGATCGCCCGATCTTGCGGGAAGCCCCTGCCCGGCACCTATCCAGCACCGCCGTTGGGGTTGCCGGGGTCGCCCGAGTCTGTCCCGGGCGACCCAGGCACCCGGGGCTCAGGTGCAAGGCCTTCCTCGCCAGCCGAGACAGGCCCTGGATGGGGTCCTCCTCCTCCTCCTCCTCCTCCTCCTCCTCCTCCTCCTCCTCCACCTCCTCCCCCCCATCCCCTAGGTGACCGAAGTGGCCAGCGAGGGCCATGCGGCTCCGAAACACACACCTCCACTCCTGTAAAACTGACGGACCGTTCGATGCGTCCCCACAATCTGGGCACGGACGGGCCCGTGACACACCCTTCGTCGGCAGAGCACCAGTCCGCATCATCAGGCACGATCGAGCCGCGTCCAGCCCTGGCGACGAGAAGTGCCCCGAGAGCATTGAAAGCAAGGGTACTTGTCTGACAACAATACGAGCATTATCCTTCCTCCCCCTCGTCCTCGGTCATCCTGCTACTCCTCCTCCCCATCATCCTTCGCCTCGCACTCCTCAACGGTTGCCCGGAATTGCGGGGATGTCTCATGCGAAGCTGGCTGGACCCCCTCGCACGCGGCATCTCTTTGCCCATAATTGTGGGGACGTCGCAGGCAGGACAGACAGGATCACCACGCGGGCCGCACCTTGAAGCCTATAGTGTAGCGATGATGCCTCAAGCGACACCGACGAGGCAACCTCAGGTCACGGTATCACGAGCCCAGCAGTTCTGAGGATGTCTCAGGCGAGCTGGGCCAGACCACCTCTCGCGCAGCGCCTGAAGCCCAGAACTGCGAGGATGCCTCGAGCGAAACGGGCCAGGCCATGCCAGATCTGGTCGTCCCCGTCGCCGCCCTCGCCGCTTCCGCAGTCGCCGCCGCGCGGTGGCCCGTCGCTGCGCGTCGCTCCTCGTCGTCGTCGTCGTCGTCGTCGTCGTCGTCGTCGCCGTCGCTGCTTGTCGTGGTCGCCGTCGTCTGGAGGAGGAGGAGGAGGAAGAGGAGGAGGAGGGGTGAGGGAGGACGAGGAGGACAATGCCAGATCTGGTCGTCTTGGAACGCACACCCTTGAGGACGTCTCCTGCGGAACGGGCCGAACCGCCTCGACGTGTTGCCAGTGCCTCGACGCGCGGGCTCCCCGCGTGGCATTCGTTCTTGCCGCCACAGTGCCCCCGGCACATGCCGGGCGACTCGGAGACAATCCAAGACAAGACCTACTGAACTCAACGGGCGAAGAACGGTATAAAATAAACTGTTTCGCCGCCCCAGGGCGGCTGGAAAGTTTATACCCTTACGGTGGCACCGTCGGGGTATAAACTTTCCAGCCGCCCAGGGACAGGCGCCCCCGACAGCGAAAAAGTCTATTTTATACCGTTCTTCGCCCGTTAATGAACGGGAGCAGACGCAAAATTCCTATGTCCTCCATGCCTGGGGAGGGATAACGGAAACATGGGAGGAGGGATGAGGAGAGGGAGGAGGACGATGAGCTGGAGGAAGAGGAGGGCGACGATGCCAGTGGCAAGGACGACGGCGCTAACGACGAAAAACGACGGCGACAACGACGACTGCGATGACGACCGCGACGACGACGACGGTGGCAGCGATCCGACGACGGCGACGGCCACAGCGGCGACGCGGCGACGAAGACGACGGTGGCGACGAAAACGACGACGATGGCGAGTGGATGTGGCGGGGCGGCAAGGAAGATGCTGCTGGCCGTGTGCCGCCCACTTCCATCTGCCCTGCTGGGGTCCAGAAGGGGAGGAACGAGGGGCTGCGGTCGTCGTCGGTCGAATGGTTGACTGAAGATCGACCCTTGAAGGGTCGAGGGTGCTGCTGCTTGTGCGTGAACCGCACGATGGCATGGCGCCCCTGTGGGGAGCAGCGCCTGTCGTCGACAGGCCTCCCGCGCAGTTGGGGGGGTGGTGGTGCCATGGGGCACCCGGGCGCGGCCACGCCCGTCTGTGACCGGTGCCTTCCCCTGCCCGGTGCGGCTGGGAGTTGTTCTGGCGTCCCTGCCCGTGTCTTCACGGCTTTGGCCTGTGGAGGTCTCCACGGTGTCCCTTCGGCGGTGGACAAACCTCCCTTTAGTAAACCTCCCCTTCGTGAAAACGGACTGGGACCGAAAACGACGGACCTGGACCCGCAAAAATGACAGCCGCGACGCCCTCTCGCGAACCGAAAACGGCCAATTCCTTAATCGACATGTCAGGGTAGGAGGTCTATCCACCTCCGATCTCTGGGGACATCGCCCTCTCCTCCCCCCCCCCGGAAAAACAATCCGCCGCGTGACCTGTACGTACGAGGCACAGTCCGCGGCCAGCCCCCCGCCCACCCCTTCCCAGAAGGGCCCCATGCCACTTGTCGGGAAACCCGCCATGGAGCCCGCGGCTTTCTGACGCGGAGCTCGCGCGGAGCGCCGCCTCTGCTGCGCCTGGTCACGACTGCCGGCCTTCGTACGGAGCGCGCGGAAAATACCAGGAAGCCAGGTGTGCGTTGGATCTCTCTTGCCCATTTCCCCTGGGTCCGTGGCCGCATTTGTCGTGCGCGCGTCCCGCAGACACCTAACAGGACTGGCGCAATACAAGTAAACAGTAACTGGACGTTGGCAACCGAAGCACATGCTCACGTGAATTATCAAAGTCGCTTTCGCTTCCGTTGATTACTTGCGCAAGCACCACGCTGCCTCTGCGGGCAGCTCAGGTACCGCGATCCTTCCACCGAAGATCATGCCAACATATTGCGCATGCCAACATGCCAACGACACTTTTGTCAACCATGGTTTTCTGGCGTGCTGGCTCAACTTCGCATCGCGCCACGCCCTCTGACTGCATTCCAATGCCGCACCACCAGCCGAACCAACTTTTAAATACTCTCGGTGCTACACTTGTGCGTGGTCTTGAACGAAGTAACTCCTGGGCCACCCCTGAACATGAAGGTCTGCTGGCTTCGTAGACCGATGCTCCACTGGCATCGCGCGCTGCCCGAACGAATTGCTACGTGTGCGCAACAAGTGGTGTCCGCAACAGGATGCAGCACTGCTGCTGGCGCGGTTGGTGCTAGGCAAACTTATGTGGTACCCGCGCCAGCTGTCTTCCTGCGTTCGAAAAGGCTCGCGTGTCAACCTCCACTGCCCTGACCGCGTCCCCGACCGCTCGTCGTCGTCGTGTCGTCGTCGTCATCATCGTCATCGTTCTCCTCCTACTACCTGCAACATCTGCGGACTCCGAAACGGAATGCAGTGGAACCACTCTCGGCTCGCTCTCCAAGACGTCCCCCAAATTAAGGTCGCCCGGAGCTTTGCTCCCAGCAAGAGACTGCGAGTGGAGGGCCGTAAGCAACCCGCTCCCGCACTGGCGACACCGATGAGGGCGGGGACGACGGCGACGATGACGAAGACGGCGACGCTGACGAAGACGACGGGCGACGACCACGAAACGAGGGCAAGCACGAGGGCGGAGACGACGGCGACGAGGGCGACGACGACGGGCGACGACGACGGCGACACAACAGCGACGACGAGGGCGACAAGGACGAGGACGACGGAGACGGGGACGTGTCCCCCCCCAGGCGCACCGATGCCGACCGGAGGTGCCGAGCCTTGGCGCACTCCGCCGCCTGGGCGCGTTTATTCCAAGACTGGCGCGGCCTGAGATACCCCCCTACGCCCTCTCGGCTACTCGACATCCCTTAATAATTCTCCCCCGGGTCCAGTTTCTTAAGTCGCCTTTTTTGAAGTGGGGCAGGTTCTTTAGAGCGCTTTCCATAAGCCGAAGACGAGAAGGGTCCGGAATATTAAGGCACCCCGTTGACAAGGGGGGTCCAGAAAATTAGGTTGCCGTTGAAGCGGGGGTTCAGTTTTTCAGGGGGGGTCGATTATTAAGGGATTTCGACTAGACACGCACAAGTGAGCACGTGTGACCTCTGGTGCGCGGCTTGAGAGCGGTCAGGGGGGGGAGGTCAAACCCAGGCTCGGAAGCCGCTGCTGTCGCATTTCGCTCGGCGATCGGGTGCCCCCAGCGGGCCCGCACCAGAGGGCCACTCCAGCGAAGGGCCACTCTTGCGCGCGGCCGGCTCCTTCTGCTCCGCCCACCGCTCTCCATCGCTCAGGAGGAAGAAGGATAAGGAGAAGGAGAAGAAGGATTTTACTGCTAATAATAATGCCGATGAAACTACTACTACTACTACTACTACTACTACTACTACTACTACTACTACTACTACTACTACTACTACTACTACTACTACTACTACTACTACACTACTACTACTACTACTACTACTACTACTACTACTACTACTACTACTACTACTACTACTACTACTACTACTACTACTACTACTACTACTACTACTACTACTACTACTACTACTACTACTACTACTACTACTACTACTACTACTACTACTACTACTACTACTACTACTACTACTACTACTACTACTACTACTACGACTACGACTACTACTACTACTACTACTACTACTACTACTACTACTACTACTACTACTACTACTACTACTACTACTACTACTACTACTACTACTACTACTACTACTACTACTACTACTACTACTACTACTACTACTACTACTACTACTACTACTACTACTACTACTACTACTACTACTACTACTACTACTACTACTACTACTACTACTACTACTACTAACTACTACTACTAACTACTACTAATACTATGTATACTAATACTAGTAATAATAATGCCAATACTAATAATGATATTGATAATTAGAATATTAATGCTGAGGCTAATAATAATGATACGATTACTCATAATGATAATACTAATAATGAGAAGAAGACGAAGAAACACAAAACATAATAACCAGAAGCAAGGGGGAGCTTTCCCCACGGCCCGCGGGGATGTCTTGGACTGGCCCTGCGCCCCCCCAGTGGCGGCGCCTGCACAGCGCCGCCCCCGGCGCGCCGCGGAGAGGGGGCCCCCGGCGCGCCGTGGAGAGGGGGCCCGGCGCGCCGATCCAAAAGACGCCCGCGCGGACCTCCGAGCACTTGTGCTAAGGTCGGGCGTGTCGCCACACACGGATTTGGGAGGAAAAGCGAACATACCGCCAGAAATGCCCCCCAAATGTTACAAACATGCAGGGAAATCGTCCCCACACAACACAATTTTTGCACTGTCTGTGCGAAGGTCGGGCATGTCCCCCTACAGCCGGATTTGCAAGGAAAAACAAACAATACCGCCAGAAATGCCCCCCGAATGTTACAAAAATGCAAGGAAATCGTCCCCCCACGCATTTTTTTCACCGTTTTTGTATTTTCTTCCTGTAGAGGGGCGGGCCCGACTTGAATTTGTGCCTCTGCCGCTCGCCTTCCTGCCCTGTCTTTGCCCTCGGCCCACCTCGGGCAGCACCCGCAGGCACCGAGCCGGATCGGAACGTCGGAGTTTGCCTCGGATCGTGCTGCATATGCGCGGGGTCGGAATCGAGTGGGGTCGGCCGCGCCAGGATGCGCAAGGACATCGGGGCGCATCACATCGTGGGAACGTCCGAATCGGTTCGGACCAGGCCAGGATCGGGATCGAATCAGATCGATCGGGTCGACATGGGCCCTGATCTCAGGAGGCGAAGACGAGGAAAAGGAGGAGGTGGAGAAGGCGGAGGAGGAGGAGGAGGACCAGTGTAAACCCAAGGGTCATCAACGATGTTGGATCAAACTCTCCCTCCAAGCTCCCTCTTCATAGGACCCTACAGCGGTTCATGTCCATTGACGGGACTGCCTCGTTGGAGGGCACCCGTACGTAGACCCTGAAGCATGTCAGAGCATTGTTCTCGGGATCCCAACGCAACGGATCAAACTGACTATTGCGTCTTGACGAACCTGAACCGTGCCAGAACGCCATTTCTAGGACACACAGAGAATCAACGTAACTGTTGCACCCGCAAAGTCCTGAATCGCTCCAAAACAGAATTTCTGGTACGTTGATGATGGGAATTTGTGAATTCCTTCCAATTGTTAGAACGAATGTGCGCGGCGCTTGGGCGAGAACCGCATGTTGAAACATAACAGTCCTCAACCCGTGAAGTTCTTGCAAATGTTTTATCAACGAATGTGCGCGGCGCTTAGGCGAGAACCACAGACTGAAAAAGAACCACCCTCAATCCGTGAAACTCTTGCAAATGTTTAAATCGAATGTGCGCGGCGCTAAGGCGAGAGCCACATTTTGAAAGCCACTCGCCCTCAATCCGTGAAGCCCTTGTACATGTTTAAAACACATGTGCGCCGCGCTAAGGCGAGAGCCACATTTTGAGAACCATTCGACCTGAACCCATGAGACCCTGGCAAGCGTGTTGAAACAACTGTGCGCCGCGCTAAGGCGAGAGCCACATTTTGAAAACCACTCGCCCTGAGTCCATGAGACCCTGGCAAACGTTTGGAGTAAATGTGCGCCGCGCTAAAGCGATAACCACATTTTGAAAACAACCAGCCATCAATCCGTGAAGCTCTTGCATGTTTTGTTAAACGAATGTGCGCCGCGCTGAGGCGGGAGCCACATTTTTGGACACGACCCGCCCTCCATCTGTGAAGCCGTTGCCAATTTTTAAACGTCAGGATCATACATGGTGAGGATGTCTCAAGCGAAACGCCAGGCCTGTCCTAAAAACTGGCCTCGGGGTGCGACAGGGGGAAATTATTTATCATAATGAAAGAAAGGGGCCGGACGGTCATTCATTCTCCCTGGGTGCGTGTCTGAAAAAAAGAATTCGTGGTGAGAATTATGCTTGTTACGTTTTGTTGCTGCTGCTGCTGTTGCTGTTGTTGTTGCTGTTGCAGTTGCTTTTGTTGTTGTTGCTGTTGCTGTTGCTGTTGCTGTTGTTGTTGTTGTTGTTGTTGTTGTTGTTGTTGTTGTTGTCGTCCCACCCCGCGACCCACCCGCGACCCACCGCGCGACCCACCCGCGACCCACCGCGCGACCCACCCGCGGCCCAACCCCCGACCCACCCGCGACCCACCCCGCGACCCATCCGCGACCCACCCGCGACCCACCCGCGACACACCCCGCGACCCACCCGCGACCCACCCCGCGACCCATCTGCGACCCATCCGCGACCCACCCGCGACCCACCCCGCGACCCACCCCGCGACCCACCCGCGACCCACCCCGCGACTCACCCCGCGACCCACCCTCAAGAGAGGAAAAACCAGCCGGACCCGACGATTGACGTTTATAAACGGGCCTTGGCGTTTTTGAAACAGCCCTGCCCTGTTCGATTCATTCCTTGTGCGTTTACTGAACGGCTTCGCTTGTCGGGGTGATTATTATGGGGTGGGTTTTCTGCCCTCTACACCCGCGACCCACCTGCGACCCATTTGCGACCCACCCGCGACCTATCCACAGTGGCTTAACAAAAAAATCGGCGCCTGCGACGGGCTCTTTGTATAATTCGTGGAATTTTGGCGCCTGCGGCGGGCCCCTCCAGAGTCTCGCAAAGTGCCGACGCCCCCACCGCCCCCTCACTCTTATCCGCATCTGTGGGGTGCTACGTAAGGAAAACTCGCCATCGCTCGGACGTCCATTCCCTGTGCTTTTTTCGGTTTCGTGCGTGGTTTTTTTGCCAAATGATCAAGGATGCTCCTCGATGGTCCTCGCCGAGGGACAAATGCACACGTCCGAGCGATGCCAGGAAAAGGAATGGAGGAGGAGCAGGAGGAGCAGGAGGAGGAGGAGGTGGCCTTCACCCGCCTGCCGACTCCTGCCCTCGGCGCGCCGAAGCCAGCCAGAGGTGCCGAGCCTTGGCGCACTCGGCCGCCCTGGCGCCGCCGACTCTGGCACGGCCCGTGCTCCCCCAACTCCCTCCTCCTCCGCCCGCCCTTCTCCACCTCCTCCTCCTTCTCCTCCTCCTTCACCTGCCAGTGACGTTTTTCCTTCGAGGCTCGAGGGAAGGGCCTCCGGATCACCTCCTGGTCCTCTCTGGGCTCCGGGATTCCTTCCGGCGGCCTCTGGGGGCATCCGGGGACCTCCAGGGCTCAAGGGTCGGGGCGTCGCAGAGATTACCACTCGCATCTATCAGCAGGCCAGGAACACACGCACGGCTGAACTCACGTGTGGACGGTGCGGGTGCCACGTGCATGGGTTCAACTCTCACCTGTGCCTTGTGCATCCCGCTTCCTCCTCGCTTGTTGTTGCTCAGCTTCTGCGCCAGTTGGCGTGCGGTTCCGTGTCTTCGCCACGTGGGCGCCCGTGCGCGCCTCGATCGCTGGCTGACGATGCCTGTTGGTTCGTCCCGTGGCGGCCAGTGGACGCTTCGTGCACTGTCTGGAGATAGCTTGCACCACAACGCTCGCACCACATCTATTGCATCACGTCGCTTCAACCTCATACCGGAGGGTCTTAAAGGGGGGGGGGTTGGGGGATGGGGTTTTCCAGGAGGGGTCTCCCAGGGGCTTCGCACCCCCTGTTTTGACGAGGTTCCAAGGCCCCTGGGGGGCTCTCTGGAAAACCCCCTCCCCCCAAACCCCCTTTTTGGAACCCTCCGGACTTCGCATCCACAGTGCGCACGCTCACTGTTTGGGGCCCACGCGGGATACCACTTCTTTTAACAGAGAAATCACCGCACGTGTTCGTGATTTCTGC